ACTGGAACTGCACAGCCTAAAAGACAAGACAGAGGTGACTGTTCTCTGTGTTCACAAAAATGGACCAGATGAGAAATAAAAAAGGAAAAAAATATGTTGAGCATAAAGTTTCTATACCTAAGGAAGCAAAACCCAGGAAAAGATATTTGGTGGAGGGTGGAGTCTCCCATCACTGAATGACTAAGAACAGGTTACACAAGCATGACAAAACATCTCTCCAAGCGAGTCTTGCCTTGCTACAATGTGATGGACCATACTGCCTCTCTAGCTATCTCCAGTCCTGTTTTTAATGGGAGAAGGCAAAACGTTGATTTTTGACTTTGAACACGTACCCATTGGAATCTGCATGTGTGGCAGTGTGCTCCTTCCCACCCCAAGCCCCCCCACTTACACAATAAGCGCCAGTGGGGTCATGATGACTGCATCCAGCCTAAGTTGGACTTAGCGGGGGTGGATGGCAACATGGTAGTAAGGGTTGTCAGGAACGGTGGCCCAGGCATCTTGCTGGTGTGCAAATATGAGGCTAAGTCAATCGTCTGACTCTGTAACTAGTGGCCAGCCCCGGGCCCGTTGAGCTCTCCTGCCCAGCAGCACACTGGGATCTCCCCTTGGGTAGGGACACCCCTCAGGTCACTCCTCGAGGCTGAGGGATTCCTTGGTGGAACAGATCCTCGGTAAGCGGCTAACACCACGCTAAACTCGGAAACCTTAGCTGAGTGATAGAAAGGATTGCTTGTGCATGTACAATCCTTCAGACATAAACTACTGACCAAGTCTGGGACTAGGACTGAATCCAGCTGCACCCAGACCCCTCTCTAAGGAGGAGTTCAGAAAGCGAGGGGGTCCCTTCTGAACCTCCTGACTCCACGGGATGGTCTCCTGGACGAGTCTGGTGTGGCTCTGTCCTCTGTGCAGTAAACAATCCAGTGTACCCTGCCATCGAGTCTTGTTAAACCACTGTCACGTTTACTGTTGAACTTCATTAACTCAGTATTTTTTATCAATAAAGTATATCTTTGCTTCTCTCTTACAAGTGAAGTGCATAACTCTGTCCACAACAGCATGTCACTTTTTATTGAGGTTGACAGTTTCTGTTCCGTTTCCTGTATAGCTTCCCCTGCCTGCCCCAAGTTCCTAGTCAAACACAGTTTGAAGCTCTGTTCTGGAAAGTCTTGGTTTTTCCTTCTTGACCAATCTCCAAGAGTAACAGGACTCAAAAATTGCTTGAGGAACTGCCCATGAAGGAATAGTGTCAATTTTAAACCATTACTTACACAATGAAAAGTTTGTTTACTGTGCACAAACCTCTGTGGCTACAGAGAGGAGCACCAAAACCTGGCTAGTGGACTGAGAGCAAGAAAAGAGTCCACACAAAAGCATCAGGAAGAGCTGATATTTTTATCAGATTTTCTATTATATTTTTATCCAACAGAAGAGTTCACAATCAGGTGCTAACGGATACCTCTGTCTCACTGTGCTCTCCCCACTCTAGCTCACCTCCTCTCTTCTCTCATTCAAAACCTATTTTTTGAAAAGTGTAAGTGATTAGGATTAATAAGAAAGAAAAACTGTGATGCTACGCTACTGCAGGGTAAGGCAATAAAAAAAAGGCTAAGATTTTAAACACCTTACATCCTTAAAAGAGCATGTTATTACTGCATCTGGCAACAGCCAGCAACGTGCAGTAATTGCAACTGCAGATGTCCAGTGATCCCAGCCATGACTAAGCACTTGTGCAGAGTATCAGCGCTCCAAGCTCTTTCCTCATCAAGCTCCAAGCTCCTATCTCACCAAGACTATCACAAACTCCCATGGCAGCTAATGCTTTAGGGCAAAGGAGGAATAAACAGCTGCACTGAGAAAAACTACTTAAGATGTAAAAGGTTACAGCTACGGTGCCATAACCCACCGCGTGGCAGCTGCAAGCAACACACGCGCAGGAACAGCAGTGTATCTCCCATTATGAGGCCCTGTTTTTCTTTACCTTTATAAATGTGTCAGCCATCTTAGAATACAAAACTAGTTAACCATTGCTTCTTAATTCACTTACCTTTCCAGCAATCACACGGACTGGTTGGTATGTAGCCATGAACTTAGCTCATATCAACAGTCCTCCTAATTATGCTTGTTCGTGCAACTTCCAGTACATTAAGACATCTATTATTACTTCATATGCAGCTAAATATGAAGTTCAGATAGGCAAAACTGATTACATTTACTTGCCAAAAAAACTTATTCTGGAGACTGAAGCACCCACTTAGCACTAGTGTGTTATAGAACAACTATCAGAATCACTTTAAGAGGGAAAAAAAAGGGCCATTCCTAGAACTATTCCCAGTGAAACCCAAAAACTGTGGAGAAAGCTTTGCTAACAGAAAGAACAGAGCAAGTAAGGAGGGTCATCAGGGCTGGATGGGTTATGTCAGGAGAGTTTTGGTCTTCAGCATTAGGAGATGTGTTGCACTCCAGCTCACTCATGTTGGATCAACAGCCCCAACTCAATCTAGTTTTTCCAGAAACACAGCATAAACAAACACAATTTCTCACCTAAATTGACGACGTTCTTTGCCCAGAACGTAGGGTCACAATGGAAGCGTATTGCTCCATTGGCAGCTGGGACAGGATCACAACGTGCCTTTAAAATATGACGTAACTGGAATGTTATCTAAAGGAAAGCAAAAACAAGACTGTTGATGACAATGAAATAAAGAATATGAATGTTAAGAACTGTGTATTTGCCCAGTGAGTTTAGGCTGCCAGACCACCAACAAAAACTGTCAATAGCAAGTTTGGTGGCCTGGAAAGTACTCAATTCACCAGGAAAATCATCCACTATACAACTAATTTCTTACTCAACTCAGAGGATTACAGGGAAGTACTGTTACCCAATAGTACTACTGCTGCAATGACTCAAGTGAAACACTGAGGTGCCTTTACATAGCTTGATCCCATTCCTTCTATGATAAAACTGTTAAGTCCTTGAATGAAAAGTGGTGTACAAGTTGGGAAATTTATCGCATTATTACAGAATGGGGTTTTTTTGTTTTGATTTTTTTTAAACAAAGCATGAACAACTCATTGGCTCTTCCTTGGATATAATCTAGTGAAGCTACATGATACTTAGAAAATTCTTTTGACTAAAAATTCTCTGTACTGTCCAGACAAGTTAGAGGATGCTTCCTTACCAGCCGTTTACTGTATAGCAAAGCAGTACTGCTGCCACTTGCAATAGCCCAATTTGTAAAGTTCATCACATGCTTCACTTGTCGCGAAAGACCAGTGATGTCATTTTGCTGTTGTATTAACTTCATCTGTCTCTCCTTTGTTACATTCTACAAAGAAACAAAAACCTTTATTACAATGGCGGCTTCAGATTTATGAGGAGAATGTAAACGGCTATCACAGTTCTCAGAGCAAAAGAAAAATGTCACAAGCAAAGCAGCTTATAGTAATGCTCATATTCAGAGTGGCTAGAACCATCAAGTAATAATTTTCCATTATTCTACTCTACCATTCTTCCCAGAGGTATCAAAGCACAGGGAAAATAGCGAGCTCAGAGAAGAGCCTCTGCTTTATCCCAGGAAAATATCAGCTACTAAAACAAGACCAATTCTTTCCTCGTGTTGTCAGAGGCACAGCAGCACGACCGAGAACTGGGGGAGCGACCCAGACTGGGGCCCAGCAAAA